CAGAAAAAACATACAACCTTCCTGACCGGAGCCTCTTTTCATCTCAAATCAATTTCCTGAATCCATGTTGAGTGTAGCTCGCCGGGTCACTTTGAATGATTAAATAAAACGTAGCGTCTTTACGGGGCTCTGAGAGTCAGGTTATGATGATGATGATGAAATATTTAGTTTAATACAAAGCTCATGCCATCAGTACAGTACATCACAGATATAATATTTTTTCATATATTTTACATAAAGGAAGGAATAAGAATAAAGGAAGACGTTTTATGTGCTTCTTTTAGCTTCTGTAAGGATTTTTTTCGCTGTTGACAGTTAGGGCCTCATTCTCAGGCGACCTAAAATCAGGGGTCGGCAGCAGAAGACTTTGGGAACCCCTGATATATAACGTATCGATCATGTGCCTTCATGGATTTAGCCTTCAGTTATTGTGAATAACAAGTGGCCCGTTCGCTGTGAACAGAAAGGGTGCTAGGATACAGGGCCACACAGACGAGAAAAAGTATATATTTGCAGCCACATGTAAATGTGTCCAAGACACTTAACCCCAAGTTGCTCCCAATGATGAGTGTAATTTAGGGATATACAAAAATATAAAGTCAAAATGAAAGTCAGTGCTGTCAGTCTGTTATCTACCATGAAAGCGTCATGTCTCTTTCACCCCGCAGGCTGACACAGATGTTTCAATGTATCATCAGAAAATGACTTTGTTGCTGCAGCTGGCCGGCAGATTTCACTCGATGATTCAGTCGATAACCATTTAAAGTTTTGAATCTGTTACCCGGCGCTGATCAATATCCCATCTCCCTTTGGTTCTCTGCAGTTTATAGTCCCAACAATGATTCTGCTGACACGTTATATCCACTGTTTGTTCACAACTTGAACACACATCACAACATTTGTGTTATTTTTGATTTAACCAGGTTGGTCCCATTGAGATTAAGAACCTATTTTTCAAGGGAGACCTGGCCAAGACAGGCAGCAGCAAAAACACAAAGTTACAGATAGAGATACAAAAAGCATGCATACACATTACGTACATAAAAATCTATGTCAGTGGAATTACAATAATTTGTAGAGATGTAAAATTAGAACATCACTTTCTGTGGTTAATGCCCCCCACTTGGTTTCAACATGATTACTATACACTTCTGATAGTCTGACTTCTATCGTCCTCCTCATCATGGAGGTGGATTTCAGATAAACAGGTTTATGACGTTCACTCTGCCTCACTCTTATCTTTATAACAGAGTTTGAAGGAGAAGACACTGATGTCGTGATGATGCTCAAGTTTCTCTAAATACAATTCAAACAGCTCTCTGGCTGACAGAAGCTGAACCTGATACTGGACATCAGAGGACCCAAACCTGTCATAAACCTGTTTATCTGAAATCCACCTCCATGATGAGGAGGACGATAGAAGTCAGATTATCAGAAGTGTATAGTAATCATGTTGAAACCAAGCGGGGGCATTAACCACAGGAAGTGATGTTGTAACTTTATACCTCTACAAGTTATGCTGAGAAACCGAAAAGCTCAAAATCATCAGCTGGTCATCATCACGCAGAAGAATGAAGGTATGAAGCAATTAAAGCCAAACAACAGAAACATCAACTATAAGAAATACATTCTCAGTCACATTTAAGTTCTAATTGAAATGGTATATATTCTATGTATACAATCATAGTTTGAATTCCCCTTAGGATTAATTAAATATCTATCTAACTTGCACCAACAACCTCTTTGCTCCGTGTCTGCTGCGGTAAAAACGAAATCTAGATATTTTCTGGAGTGAAAATGCAAAAACGGCTTTAGAGACATGACGGGCATGCAGCGCTTTTCTTCTCAGCGTATCATGTTAACGCTCCCAATGCACAGCCAGCGCTTTTTTAAATAACTTAAAAAAAAAAAAAATAATTAATTAAATTAAATAGTGTAGTTACTGAGTAAAATGTTTAATCTGCAATTAAAATGGAGCTTTAAAAAGTTCTACGTGTCTCAAGTTACTGATTGGTCACATGTTTCAGGTCTTGGGCAGTAGAGTCCAGCTCTCCCGGTCCCCACTGACTCTCGTTACAAGAAGCACACATGCATTCAAAAATTCACTGGGGGCCCCTCCAACCAGCGTTCATTATTATTTTCGTCTTTTATTTTTTCACTCACAGACGGGAAATTCCTCTTCATTTAACCTGCATTGACAAATTATAGTTTTCACAGCAATAATGCATGTGACGCTGAGCAGGGCTTTTTAGAGTGAGCAGTTGCCGGGCTTGCCTGTTGACAAGCAGCGCCTCTGAGCACGGGAATGAACGGATGAAAAACATAGCAGATGGTTCGGATCCAAACTGGAACGTTGATATATGAATGTGAGGATGCTGTTTGGGCTGTTGTGATATACAATCAGACTATACCAAAGTTATGCAACCATCGAGCTGTAGGCAATCTTTGCAGTAGAGTATAGGGATTAGTAATATTGTTATTTTAAACCATGACCCCTGCCAAGCCATGGCAACAGCAGAGTCAAAGAAATAACGTCTATAAAAATGGAAATGCTCTGTTTCATTTCCCGAAAATGTCAGGTATGTCATCGAGTCATAAGCAGAAGGAGTTAGTCCCTGTTGGTGCTTTAGAGAGAGAGCTTCCTCATCTTGTAAAAACCCAGAAGTTCTGTGATAAACATTTCGTTAATCAAAGAAGAAAACATCGGCCACATCGGAAACAGGTTATCTCTAATCATCCTGTTTACCTGCAGTGGAAGTATAGCTCAAGATGCCACCGGAGGGCGGAGGAGTTGATGACTGAAGATAAGCTCTGGTGAGTGGAACAGGAAGGCCTCTGTGAGCTGATGGCGTTCGTTAAGCCAGGATATAAACGAAGATGAAACCTGCAAACATGTCAAAGGAAGCTTTAAAAAACAACAACAGAGAAATTCATCACGTCATCTAAATGTGTCGTTGGTGCCTGACTTTGTACGACTTTAATTTAGGATAAAGAAGCAGAACCATTAGTCCCACTTTAACCCAACACATCTATGACGTTTCATACCCACTTTTCTCAACGTTAAGACCCATTTCTCTATTTGTTCTTGTTTTTAATTACATCCAGTGAAGACATGAGCCCTTTGACCCACATACACTTCAGTTCCCCTTTAGCACATTTCCTTTATGTTTGCTGTCGGATGGATGGAGGATCTAACGAGGGACTGATGTTTTAAAGGATGCTTTTAATCAATACCACTTGGTCTGAACAAGCTTGCAGATGTCGCCTCAAAGTGGCCATAGACTTATAATTAGTCAACATTGTTTATGATTAAAATATCTAAATGATACTGTATTTATCTGCTGGTCAAGTCTTTTATCTCTCTCTCTAAATGTTGAAAATTTCAAGTAGACATTCGATTATAAAAAGAAAACTAAACACAAAATGAAACCTACAAACTCTAAATTCAAATCACACAAAGAAGCAACAAGGAGAGGCGAATTATTAACAAGAATTCCTCAGATTAACTAAAAAGTTATACAACTTGTCCGACCGATATTGGATTTTTGCGGCCGATATCGATACTGGGGAGTAAAAAAAATACCGATACAGCGGCCGATTTCTTTCTTAGATTAATATTCAATCTGTTTGAACACATTTATCAAACACTTGTTGAAAAGATATGTAACTTAGACAAGACGGCCACTCAAATAGTTTAACATTTCTGTGTCTTGTGTTTTCTCTTTATCAGTCTAACATTTAGAAATGTGGGAGCTCCAGACAGATGACATGAATCCAGCGTTATGTCAGAGGAAGCTGCTGTCCTCCTCGCTCCTGATAACATTATTCAAACTTTGTAACTTTGACATCTGTGCATCTTCATCCTGCTGCAGCGTCCTCATCGTCACAAACACAGAGCTGTGTGGACGGATTCATCCGCCTCCACGAGTACGGCTCCATCCATCCGAGTGAATCACTTCTCTGTCTCCTTTCATGCTTTCTTTTTACAACAGCTGTTGATTAGTGTGTGTGTGTGTGATAAGAAACATCTGCATTCTTAAAGTGCTGCTTTATGCTCATCTGAATAATAACTTTCTCAGTGTTTTGCTGTCCAGATGTTACTCTTCAAAGCAGACAGAGGAGGACGACACATCTGGCAGAGGAAAGGGAAACATCAGAGCTATATGATAAAACTGTGACATGAGGGCAGGATACACGTGTGTTTGTTAAGATACTTCCCTTTTTACACGGCAAGAAAAGATCATTGAGAGTTTAATTTATTTGAGATTTTATTTCAGGATATTTAACAAAAGACGTGTGAACATAAGAAAAACAGACTGAAAATACATAATCATGGCCAAAAAATTGGCCAAGGTCATGGCGAGGGAAAAGAGGCCAAAATAAGGATGCCAGTGTTGAAAGAGGGAAACTTTTTATGGCAATTGAGCAAATAAGTGTGGGCCTATCTTCTTCTTCCTCAGTCTGCTCTTTTCGCCCTGCGCCTACATGATGTGTGTGTCACTACCTCCTTTTTCAGACGTTTGCTCTGTGAAATGTTAAAAAACAAAAAGGTTCTGCAGAGTGCAGTTCATCACTCCGTCTTGGACACCTAACCTGCAGCAGCGTTTTCATTCATAATAAATTTACTGAGGACATAACGCATCTCGTCCCTGATGGTCTTGTTTACTTTTGTAGCTCACAGAGAGGCAGAAACATTGATTTCAGTCTGTTTTACAACCAGATAAAAAACTCCTCACACGGGGCTTTAACTGATCAGTCGATTCAATTATGTGATTTCAAGTTTCCAGAAATAAAGAAAAACTGAACTGAAACAACAGGGTCGAGCCATTCAAGCGTTTTTGTCATTTTTAAAGGAAACACATTTAAACAAAGAAAAACAAAAAAACAATGTTGCTTCACTTCAGTCGTCTTGTGTTTTGCACCACCTTGAAAAGTTTTGGTTTTGGTTGGAGTGTTACTTTGTTCTGTTTGAACTCAAAATGCAGTACTGAAAGTGTGGTGGAGATGGAAGTGTTGAGAAATAGCCCACTCAGCTGATTGGTAAGCGCTTTGTGTGGGTTTGTTTCACACATTTAAAAGGAAGCAGCACAAATGGTCTGAACAGCATTGAGTCAACAGCTGGAGACGCTCTGAGCTGCAGGTACGACCTCGATCACTCGCCTGAAAGTCGTTCAGATTAAAGAGATTTTTTCTTCTCAAATGTTGTTGGGAAAATTAACATTTGATAACTAATCATTTTTTTCTTCTTTTTTTTTAGAGTTCTGATCATCCTTCAAGATGGACATTTTTGAATATGATTCCGACTATTCTTCAGACTATAACTACACCGAGGGGTTCAACGACACGATTCACGAGGGGCTGGTTTTCACACACCAATCGTCATGCTTGATGGAAGCGTTGTGCGTGGGTTTACTCGTGATCACCGTCTTAATTTTTCTGCTGGGCTTCTGCGGGAACGCTTTGGTCATCTGGATCTCTGGCTTCAAGATGAAGAAGACGGTGACCACCACCTGGTACCTGAGCCTCGCCATCTCCGACTTCGTCTTCTGCGCCTTCCTGCCGTTCAGCATCACCAACATGGTCATGGAAGAGTGGATCTTCGGCCGCTTCATGTGCAAATTCGTCTCCTCGGTGATGTTCCTCAACATGTTCAGCAGCATCTTCCTGCTGGTCGTCATCAGCATTGACCGCTGTGCGTCCGTCGTGTTTCCAGTTTGGGCGCAGAACCAACGCACTGTGAACAAGGCGTCCGTCATAGTTGTCTTCTCCTGGGTTCTCGCCATCGCTATGAGTTTTCCCTCCGTGATCTTCCGTGAAGTTGGCACTCATTTGGGTCGCACCATTTGTTACAACAACTACACGTGGGACCAGTACAGTCACAAAACTGTGGCAGTGAGCCGCTTCCTCGCAGGATTTATCGTCCCTTTCATCATCATCATCATCTGTTACTCTATCATCATCCTCAGACTGCGCAACAACAGGTTGATGGCCAAATCTTCCAAACCCTTCAAAGTCATGACGGCGCTCGTCGCAACGTTCTTCGTCTGCTGGCTGCCGTACCACATGTTCGTGCTGCTCGAGCTGAACGTCGAAAACCTCCATGACCACCACAGCCTTTTGATCACCGGACTCAAAGTGGGAACTTCTCTGGCTGCGGCAAACAGCTTCCTCAACCCGGTGCTGTACGTGTTCATGGGCAAGGACTTCAAGCAGAAGTTCAAGAGCTCCGTGCTGTCAAAGATGGTGAACGCCATGGAAGAGGACGGCCGCACCACCAGCAGGTATCTGTCCAGGTCCAGCTCGATGGACACCAGAGCCTCCACCCACATCTAGACATTGCTGCACCGCTGGTTCTCCAGTTAAGAGCTCAAATACTCATTGAGCTGAGAGTGTCATTTTTTGCGTTTTTCTTTTAAAGACAATTTAAACGTGTAAAATAGTTCAGGAATGTGCACATGTAAGCCAACATCCTCTGCTTATCTGGTGTTGCAGGATTTGTACCATTGATCTCCTCCAGCAGGACGAATGTAAATACACACGTTATGTATATTAAGTTGTGAAATACATGGATTGTTAAATATGAGGTGTACATGTTTCAATAATAAACACAAAATGTTTATTTTACTTATATTCAGTGTATCTGAAGCATTTTGCACGTATTTGTGATGGTGTCATCTGTAACTTTGTGTTTGATTTCAGACCAGGGGTGTAGTAGTGGGAGGAAAAGTGGGAACCAGGGCCCCATTGGAGGAAGGGGCTCTTATCATTATGTTACAAATCAAGTGTAAATAGTGAAGTATATGTATACATCTAAAGGTTTTATTTTGATTTGTTTCTCTCTAAGTCATGAATGTTGTAACAAGTTGAAAAAAAAGTTGATTAAATGAACATGATTCTTAAAGGTCAAATAATAAACTTCTTTTCAACCAGTTTAAATAAGTCTCAGAGCTCCTCAAAACATGTGTGTGAAGTTTCTTGTTCTAAATCCACTCTGATCCTGTATTTGATCATGTCTATAAACCCCTCTATTTCAGCCCTGCTCAGAACAGGCTGTTTCTGTGTCTGTACCTTTAAATGTAAATGTGTGTCTGACCACGCCCCCTCTCTGGAAGGACTTGGGTGTCTCGGGCTTTCTCTCTCAATGTCCTATTGTTTACTGTGAGAAGGCAGACTCAAAGGGCAGAACAAACACCTAGCTGTGGGAGTGTCACCCACCTGGGGAGGGGCTACTGCCCTTTGTGATGTCATGAAGGGAAAATCTCCAAACGGCCTGTTTGAGCACACATTTTCTGAAAAGTGGAGCAGGCAAAAGACAGAGAGGATGGACTTTTCTCTTCATTGGGGGGTTTGTAGACAGACTAGAGACATGTTAGTGTTAGAGAAACATGTTGAAATGTATGTGACCTTTAATTCTTTCTTAACTCTGAACATAAATATATTTTAAAAAGCTTTTAGATGCTTTTAAACTCTATTGCAGTGCAAATAAAATGAATTAAACCATGTAATATGCATATTTTAGTTTTGGATTGTTTTTAAGTGTTGGACACAAGGTTTTGTGTTTTTCCACCAATGAGTGGATTTTATGCAAAACAAATGTTTGCAATGGATTCAGAATCCTGAAAAAAACAACCTAGTTTGACCCCTTACAAGCTACGTAAGGCAGAGGTTAACATATTCAATTTTACACCAATAAGGTTCCAGGTTTCCCAACATTGAGCAGCTCTCACATATTTTCCTTCAGGAGTTCAATTCAATTCTTGTTACATGTGTTATAAGACACATTTAAGAACACATTTGTGAAGAAGTTTCTTGGTAAGGAATTTATTTCCAGATTTTTGCAGTATTCCCTTTAAACCTGTTTAAACGATTTACTCACATACTCTGCTTCTTTCAATTTTTTTAAATGCAGAAACCACATGTGTGCTTCTTTTTTGACCTTTCACAGGAACATTATTCGAGACAAACAAATTGCTTGCACTCTTCCACCTAGGTACCTTGACTATGATTCAAAATGAATCATTACATGACATGAAATGGTATCATCATATTTCAAATGAATGCAAATTACAAATCTAATTTGCAACTCTTGCAGGACTTGTGTATAAATTGTTATTGGTTTTTGGTTTTAAAAAGTAAGATGCATCACAATTTAACAGGAAGAGAAACAATATAAGGTGGCAAACCACAGCTTGCAAGGACTTTTCTGTGACTCAGACAGAAAAGAAGTCGCTGCTCTGAAGGCTTTAATCTCTTAGGATATCTTTCTTTGACTTGTGGATGTATCTCTCAGGGAAGCTCTTATAATGGTGAACAAAACACGAGCAGCCAGATTTTATTTTTATCAACCTATGTGTGTTTCTTTTGTTTCTGTTTCATGCAATAAAAGTTGGACTTCCACTGTTGGCTCATAAATGAAGAAATGCTTTTTTGAAGATGAAATGACTTGTACCAGTGATGGTTGCATAAATGCAACGAAGCAGTTTGACCTCTTTATACTACCTGTACCTGCTAATCGGCACATTGTTGCCAAAATTTAAGACACATATCGAGCTCAGCGTTTGTGTATAGAAACATTTAAGTATTGTAACATCTCAAACGTCAAAACTAGTCTACCAATGATGGTATCTCACTTCCTTCTTGGCAATCATTTTAGAGGATTCATAAGAAGAAAAAGAAGAAGAAGAAGAAGAAGAAGAAGAGTCCCTGGTGATTTTTTTTATGTTGACAGAGCGAGGTAAGGGGAAGACCCAGACGACAAAGGGTATGTAAGACACTTACAATTAGTTTGCAACAAACTTTATAATGATAGTTTTCCTTTCAGTTACTTTAAGAAGAGTTCTCATAAAGAAACTGACTTTGTGTTGAGGAGGAATAAGGGCACTAGCAGTAAAAAACAACACACACAACCAGCTCTACAAATTCATTTAGCATCTTAAAGCTAAAGGTTCTGCTTTTGCAGCCTAAAAAAAGTTCTGCCTGGGTTCAGACCACCTGCTTTTGAACCTTGTTACCAGTCAGGTCGAGCAGCCAGGTTGGAGAAAACGCAAAAAAATGACAAACAAAAAAATGTCACAGGCTAGCTGGTGAAGATATGGGAGTCAAACGTTTGACTCTGAGAAAGATGCAGTGCGGCGAAACATTAGCACCTAAATGCATTTGCCTTAAAGAGGACATATTATCCCCCTTTTTCCACCTTTTCAAACAGTCCCCCTGTAGTCTAAATGAAACATCTGTGCTGTGCTTTGGTCAAAATATAACATGAATCAAGCACCAGAGGAGGTTTGTGACCCTGTATAAACCAGCTCTCTCAGAACGCTCCGCTTTGGTGTGTGTGTCTCTTTAAATGTAATGAGCCCCCCTGAGTTTTCCCGTAGACATCACTCCTCTGTAGAAAGAATAAAAATGGCGGACCTGCGCAAAAGTTTTGTTCTAGTCTGGGGGTGGAGATACCAGGGGAGGGGAGGGGATTGTTTTTTGTTTTTTTATCAGAATCCCACTGTGACATCACAAGGAGAGCAAATTTGAAATGGAGCATTTTTCTTCGTGTTGTAAGACTTATGCAGACCACAAACAAAGAACAGGATGTTATTTCATATTTTGTGCGTCGGTAGACACTCAGGTTACCCAAACATATGTTCAAAAATACTATAAAAGTGGATTTTTCATAACATGTCCACTTTAAAGTGATTTGTGTGCTCCAGTATTTTCTTTGGATCCTGTCTGAGAGGAGGACTGATCTTTTTTACAGCTCCGTCCTTTAACTGTGTAAAGCACCTGGAGTTGCTCTTTGTATGAAAGCATCTCAAAAACAGTCGACCACATCTCGTCATCATGTACTCCTTTATTGGGCCTTATCACTTTACATTCATCCATAGAAAATACATTCAGTTTTGACACCCGTGTTCACAAAGTGTCAGCTTGTCCATGAAAGCAGGAGACCAATAAAGTTTAAAGCATGTGTTAAAAATAGAAACAACTTTTTTCCCGTTTGCTCGCTGCAATACAAATATCATTGATGTGTCAGCACACGCTATAAAAATATATTCATATTATCCCGAAAAATGGAAGTCATTTCATGTTTCCCGGCTTTCAGTCACCAGTGTTTTTAATCTTTTATATATTCACGTCTTTATTTATTAATATAACCATTTATTTTTAAGCATATGGCGGAGCACACCGAGTACCATTATGAGACGTGCTGCTTATGGAATCTGAGGCCCGGTCCACATGTAGGCGGGTAGTTTTTAATCTCCTCCGTTTCAGAAAAATAATCCCGCTTCTCAAATACATCTTGGTCAACATGAAAACGCAAAACGGCTGTCATGAGCACGCCAAGTCAAAAACGATGTCCATGACATGCTAAAATGTTCTCGTCATTCCTCTGCAGTGACCGTTTCATTTACAAAGTTTTCCATTCAGACGCCTCTGCTCGTCAACATAGCGGGAATCAGTAGTTTGGTTACGTCTGTTATCGCACTGATTCATGTTAACAAAAGTGAACTTGTCGCACAATGACATCACAAGGAGGAGAAACACCTTAAACAGAGTTTCTGAACATCTTCACCCTGAATGGAGTTTTCTAAAAGGTGCGTTTTCAGTGACCTAAAACGCTTCAAGACCAAAACGCAGAGAAAAACCTCAGTTTTCAAAAATACCCGCCTACATGTGGACGAGGCCTGAGAATTTTAAAAATGATAAACGGACATTTATAAACGGGTCTGAACTGTTTCAAAGCTCTTCTCACTACAAAGTTTTCACATTCTGTATGATGACGTAAAATAAACCTGGAATGATCACTAAGCTAAACCTCTGATCTACAACACGAGCGTAACGCCTGATCCTCAGTGATCTTTGGGGAAAGAGTCGCACAGTGAAGCGCTTTTTGGATTTCTGCATCGAGTCCAGTGTTAAGAAAAACAAAAAAACAAAGCAGATTCTTCACCATGTGCACCACACACCAGAGATAAATAAATGCTGTTTAGAGAAATCCTCTCGGCTCGTGGAGTCAGTGCCTTCAAGACGGATTATTCCTCTTCTTGAATTTTGAAGAGCTGAGAACCGAGTCCTCCTCTCGAGTACTACAGGCTGAAGAACTAAAACAACTCAGAAACACACAGTATCATTTTCAGGTAGTTATAGCCTGCATATTGCATTTTCACCAGGGATGTAACGATACACTCAATTCACAGTACAATACCTATCAAGATACGTGTCTTGATACAAATTTTCTGAATAAACATGATTCTTTTATTTCAATTCTCTGAGAAGAAAAAGGCAAAATAACAATTTTACTAATTCACTTAATAAAAATAAGAAGTGGTAGAGCGCCAGATAGCCTAGCGCTTATGAAGCATGGCCCATGTTCAGAGGCTATAGTCATCATAACGGCAGCTGTGGGTTCTAATCCAACCTCAGCCCTTTGCTGCAGGTCTGCCCCGCACTCTCTCCTCCCCACATAAAATCAGCAGAGATGCGAGGGATCAGACATCTCACAGTTGGATCGATCGGCTCGCTGGTCTTTGTCGCGGATCGGAGGTTTTTTTTAAGAAGACACGGGGAGATGAAATAGAGAATGGTTAGATCAGTGTTTGAAACAAAGTAACCGCACATTATGAAATATCAACACTTTACAACTCGTTTCTGTGCGAAAATTCGCGAAGAAACTGCCATAAAAATAGTTTTTTAACGATCTGACCTGATCACAGAACAACTTTGATCGTTGCATAACTTGTGGGCGGCAGTAGCCCTGTTCTTTACGGACTTGGGTTGGGAACTGGAGGGTCGCCCGATCAAGTCCTAGTGTAAACCAAGTCTGTCAATTGGTCTGCTAGCTGGAGAGGTGCCAGTTCACTTCCTGTGCACTTGATCTAGGACACCGAACCCCCACCAGCTCAGGAGCGCCCTTTCTTCTAAATATCAATAATGACTAATTTTAA